CAAGGCTTAGGGCTTAATCATTTTATAGGACTGTTTTGGTTCCCCGTGCAGTGATGGAGGGGGGTTTGGCTGGAGGAAAAGATGAAGTTATTGAAAAGACAAAGGGGAAACAAAACAAACGAAAAAAAAAGGTGGAGTTCTGAGTTGGGAATTGCAGATGGATGTTTAATGGGATGGAGCCACCCAGCCTGGCCACCCCTGTCCCCCCCCCAGCACTATCTCAGTGTGGTATTTAATCAGCTCCCATTATATTTAGCCCGCTATCAGATTCCAGGAATAACTGCAGATAAGGTGGTGGCACAATCCCAAATTCCCTCTCCTCACCTCCTCCCAGAGCAGGAGCCAGGCCCTCCAACCCCCAGCCACACACACAAGCCTCTGGTTCTGGGAGGGGACCTGAAATATTCCGCTCAGATTCAGCCACTGCTGCCTTCCCAGGGCAGAGACAGGGAATAAACCCCTCTCCTTTTAATTCCCAGAGGGAGAAGGGCAGGGATTCTCTGCCTCTCCTGCTCCTGCAGTCTCTCCCACGCTGTCTGGGGAGAGGATGGGACACGAGGGGCGGCCGCTTTCCTGGGATTACTGGGCTGGGCTTTGGGCCACGTTGCCAAAATCCCTCAGTTATGAGATTTAAGACACGATATTTGAAATTTCTCGCTGTTTTGTCTGTGGTCTGTTTGTTTTTGTTTTTTTTTTTTTTTCTGGGAATCTCAGAGACCCCGAGCAGGAGACGGGGCCTTAAAAAAAAATCTAACTCAAACAAACCCAAGTCTAGCTCAGGGGGGGTTTCCCACACCCCCCTTCTCTTTATTTCCTGGAGAACACACACATTCCCAGCCCTATTTGGGAATGCTGCGTGGGGATCCTGCACTGCTTTGGCGTTTTGGGATGTTGGCACCCCGTGTTTTTTTTTGGGGGGATGGGGAGCTCCGAGTGAGCCCCGCAGGGAGCCCAAATCCCACCGGAGCAGGCGGCTTTCCCGGCTCCTCTCGTTATCCAAACAGAGATTCCTGGCTCCCACCACCCTCCCCGTCGCTCTCCCAGCTGCACGGCTCTCTTGGAGCTGCTGGAAAACTTTCAGCAGAGCCGCCGAGAACCCGGCAAAGCTCAGAAGTTAAAACAAACCAAACCAAAACAAAAAAACCCCAACAAAATAAAAATGTGCTTTGGGTGGAGACACCTCGGCCCTGAGTTGCCGGTGGGGTTGGGGAAGGAATTAGGGATGGGGAAGAGGCTGCGGGAGGCTGAAGTGAAACTGCTCCCCCCACCCCACCCCGCTCTCCTCCGACGGGAACCTCTGGGGAGAAAAATGTATTTCCTCAACGACCGAAAAAGCCACGTTTCAGCCCAAAAACACGGAGCAGCTGCACGAGCCCCGGAGCTGCTTCCCGGTGCCTCCGCCCGCAGCCGGGACAGGGACGGGATCGGAACGGGACGGGAATGGGATGGGGACGGGAGTGGGGGGGGTTCTGAGCCGTTTTGGTGGGGTGAAAGCCGAACCCCTCCTTTGCCCGGGGGAGTTGCGTGATCCCATCGCTCCCACCCCAACAGGACCATATAGAGTCATAGCGGTGAGAGAAGGGACGGGGTGGGCGAACGGGGATTTGGGGGGGGAGTCCACCCAGGCGGGCAGGGGGGATGGCAGGGAGGGAGCGCCGCCCACCCCCATCATCCCCCCTCCCCATCCATCCCCTCCTAACCCCCCCAAAATCCCCCCTCCACCCCCCGCAGGACCCCCGTACCTGCCGTCCCCGGCGGGGGGACCCCCAGCAGGACCCCCAGGAGGACGAGGCGGTGCCCCCAGCCCGGGGGGGGCCCCGGGCCGGCCATGCCGCCGCTGCCGGGGCTGTCACGGCCTCCGCTCGCCGCCCGCGCTCCGAACCTCCCCTTCTTATGCCGGCGGGTCCCTCCTCCCTCCGCCCGCCGCCCCCCGAGCGCTGCCCGGCCCGGCCCGGCCCGGGGGGCGGCGGGGAGGGGGCGGCTTTGTCCGCCCTTATTTATGGCTCGGAGTTTTGGCCCGGCCGGGCCGCTTAATGAGAACCAGAGCCCGGCGGCTCGGAGGCTCCGCAGGGCTCCCCCCGCGGCTTCCACCCATCCATCCATCCATCCACCCATCCATCCGTCCGTCCGTCCGTCCCTCCATCCCGGCATCCCCACCCGGGGGGGTCCCCGCTGCTGCTTCGCCCCCCTTCTTGCCCTGGGAAAGGCTGCCTGCGCAAGGAAAGGAGGGGGGAAAGCAATAAAAGCAATTCTTAAATAAAAGTGATAAATACAATTCTCAAATAAAACCGATACGTCAAAATTAATACGTAAAATTAATACGTAAAATTAATACCGAAAAAATTAAAGGAAATAAAAGGAAATAAGAAAATAAAATAGGATAAAATAATACAACATAAAATAAAATTTAAAAATGGAATAAGATAAAGTAAATAAGATACAATAAAATAAAAATAAGATAAAATAAAATAAATAGGATACAATAAAAGAAAATATGAAATAAAATATAAAATAAAATAGAAATAAGATAAAATAAAATAGAAAATAAAGGATTAAATTATTAAATAACTCCATTCATTCCACCATAGGTGCTGTTGTGACCCTCAATCCACTCCACAGTTGTCGTTGTTATTAACATTAATTTTATTGATTTTAACATTATTATTCACACTATTATTTAATACTATTGATTATATTAATAATAAAATTACAGAATGGTGTGGATTGGAAGGGATCTTAAAGCCCATCCTGTTCTGTCCCCTGCCATGGGCAGGGACACCTTCCACTAGCCCAGGTTGATCCAAACCCTGTCCAACCTGTCCATAGACACTTCCAGGGATGGGTATTATCAGTATCATCCAACCAATCCCATCAAACCAGTGGTGGGACAGCGAGTGTGGGGATGAGGGAACATTCACTTCCCTTCCTTGTGCACACACACACATTCCCAGCCCCTCTGGATCCTGCCCCGGGGTCACCCAACCCTCCCTCCCATATGCAGGGCAAGGATTCATCAATAATTATTCAAGCCCTATCAGTAACATTGATTAACACCAGTAATTAAAACTTTGCAAACAATTTCACTCTGAGAGCGGGGACAGTTCCAGGCACCCTCACCCCGAGTGCTCCAGGGACCTCTGGCCCAAGGTGACATTTGGGGACAGGAAGGCACAGGGGACTTGCAGGGGGGAAAAGAGGGGAGGAATTGCTGGCTGGGAGGGTGGGCAGGCCCTGGCACAGGTTGGGCAGAGAAGCTGTGGCTGCCCCTGGATCCCTGGAAGTGTCCAAGGGCAGGTTGGAGCACCCTGGGCTGGTGGAAGGTGTCCCTGCCCATGGCAGGGGGTGGCATTGGATGATCCTTAAGGTCCCTTCCAACTCAAACCACCCTGTGATTCCACAATCTTCTGCCCTTTCTACACAGCAACAGCTCTCCCTGAAGCTCATGGAAGGGCTGGGAAGATCCCCCCACCTCCAGGAAAGGAGAAGAGCAGCAAAAAAACCCCAGTCAATCCAAAAAACACAAAGCCCTGGAAGTGTGTGGGGAGAACCCGAGGGCACTGCAGGCTCAGCAGCTCGCAGGGGGTTCGGCACAGCAGCCAGAAATCCACAGCCTGGCACAGAACTGGGAGACATTCCAAGGCAGGACAGGGCTCCCAGCCATCAGGAAACCATCAGGGTCCAGAGGGACAAGGCAGAGAGCTGGGAAGGGCTTTCCAGGAGGGGTGAGCCAGGGGTGGGACGGAGCAGGAAGAAGGAAAGCCAGGGCAGCCAACAGGCTCTGGCGTGGCCTCACCGTTCCTCCACAAACCGGGACATTTTTCCTCATTCCTCCACTTCCCCAACCAGGCAGAAGTTTCTCTGCTTCCCACCAGCCCAGGGAATGTGAGCAGAGCTTGGGATGTGAAGCCCACAGGGCTGGGGCAGCAGCTGGGGGCGATCCAGAGCCTACAAAAAAAGCCTTTTTGTGCGGGGGAACAGGCGTCATTCCCGTGCCTCCAGCCTGGATCACTTGATATCCCTGCTGACAAAAGCCAACAGAAGCTGTGGCACCCGACCAGGACCTGCAGCTGGGTCACAGCCTGGCAGCTGAGCCCAGATTCGGGGATTCCTACAGCCTGGAGCGAGCCAAGAGCAGCACGTGGGAAGCAGGGGTGGGAATCACTCCCAAACCAGGGAATTACAGACAAGGAGAGGGACACACAGCACGGGAGGGGTGATCCTGGGCACCCACATTTTGGGGCTTCACCGACCCATCAGCTCAAACACCATCACCCTTCACCTGTCATGGGACCTTTGCAAAGGTCTGTGACACAGAACCCCAGAATCATGGAATCAGCAAGGTTGGAAAAGCCCTCCCAGCCCATGGATCCCCCCTGTGTCCCATCCCCACCTTGTCCCCCAGCCCAGGGCACTGAGTGCCACATCCTGGCCTTCCCTGGGCACCTCCAGGGCTGGGCACTCCAAACCTTCCTGGGCAGCCCCTGCCAAGGCCTGACCACCCTTGCCAGAGGGAGTTTTCCATAATATCCAACCTGCCCCTCCCCTGGCACAGCTGGAGGCCGTTCCCTCTCCTCCTGTCCCTGTTCCCTGGGAGCAGAGCCCGATCCCCCCCCGGCTCCCCCCTCCTGTCAGGGATTGCAGAGCCAGAAGGTCCCCCCTGAGCCTCCTTTTCTCCAGGCTGAGCCCCCCCAGCTCCCTCAGCCGCTCCTGCTGCTCCAGCCCCTTCCCAGCTCCGTTCCCTTCCCTGGATACATTGCCCTTCTCTAGTAAAACACTCCTCTGCTGCTCATAAAAACTTTTGCCCTGATAGACCCTCCAAAAAGTCTCTTCAGACCAAACTTCACACAATCCCTTCAAATGGACAGTTCAATCCACACGTGATGTCACAGGAACTCGAGCTGAGGAGGCCGCAGCTGGAGCGTCATCTCCTCCAGATCCAACGGGGAAGTCTCAAGGGGCTCATCCCTGTCCAGAGGAAGGTCAGGGCTGGCTCCTCAGCAGATGACTCATGGAGGTTTGGCTGGGAGCAGCAGCCACGCAGGGGGATTCATGGAATGCGCCGAATCCATCTCAGGTAGGGAAACCACAACTTCAGGAAAACGAGCTGGAGTATCTCCTACATCACCAAGTTTGAAGCAGCTTCTGATGAAGCAACAGGGCTGCAGCACGTGGGCACAGGGGTGAAATTGGACTGGATTTAAAAAAAAAAAAATCCCCTTTTTCCCTAGGAAGGCATCTCCCAAGTGTCCTCATCCCCGTGGAATTTGAGCGCCTTCCAGGAGCGCATTAATCACCGCCGCTTCCATTTGTCACGCCGGGGGTCCTTCACCCGCCCTCGGGGGCTCCTCTGACCCGGGGAATTCAGTTTATCTGCTGATGGAGGCAGTGAAATATTAATAAAAGCTTGACTTTCAAACCCTGCCTGTGTGAAAGAGTTGAGCCTTTCCCATTTCCAGCAGTCGGGAAGAACTCCCACCCCAAGCCGACCGATGACTTCACAGTCGCCCGGCTCGTAAGTGCAGCAGAAAGGAAACAATTAATTAAGATCTGCTTTACTGGATGAAAAGGTTGATCAGGACTAATGAACAGCCAGCCAGGAAGTCATGTCTCCATCAGGGAATGGTTTCAGGAAAAGGGAATTGCAAACCAGGAAAAAAATTAGATGGAATTAAGGGAGGTCTGAAAAAAGGTCTGTAAAGTCTGTTATTCATCTAATTCTGGATGAGCGTGGAAGGGGGTTGGAATTAGATGGTCTTTAAGGCCCCTTCCAGCCCAAACCTTCTGGAATTCTAGAAGAGGAAGTGGTTCCCTCACCTGCTGTTCCACAGGGCAAATCCTTCCTTGCCTCCTCCTCTTCCAAGTTGTCCCATTGTGTTCTCCTGCACCACCTACAAATTTGCCACCAGAATTCCTTCTGGGAAGGGTCCTCCAGCAGCCACCACACTGGACCAGGCCACATCCAGGCAGATGTACGGTAACATGACTAAATTCTGGGAGGAACTTTCTTTTCCAAGGAAATTGGGCACTCCAGCTCTATTTTTACATCCTCGTCGCAACAGATTCCCAAGGGATTCTTTCCAGTTACCAGCAACGAGAGAACGTGCCCCAAACACCCACTCAAGCCCCAGCAGGGCCTGATGTGAGAAGGGTTCTCCATGGAAAGGATTCCAAAAAAATCCAAACAAACTTGAGTGGTTCCCCACAGGAAGGACTTCAAAATCGTCCACCAAAAACCAGAGGACTGACCACCTTTCTCTGAAAGGATCAGGATTGAGCCCCTCAGGGTGGAATTTACAGCACAAAAGGGAGAACTCTTGGAAATGGCCATGGAAGAGGAAGTGGAAGGTGTAAGAAAAAAGCTTCTTATTTTAAAATCAAGTTTCAAAGCATAAGGTGGATTTTTATACCTCTTTTCCAGTTCCTTGTTTGTCCACCCCATCCATCACGTTTCCCACCTCAAGTTCAGGTTGTGGACACCCAGCAATCCCTGTGAGGGGAGGCAGCTGATCCAAGAACATTCCTGATTAATTAAGAGCAAAAATCTGCTCCTGCGGGGGTCAAAAAAACAAACAAACAAACGAACAAACAGTTCTGCCCTCACTGAGCTCCCTAAAATTTGCAGAACTTCCCCCAGAAATCTTTGTGTACAGCGGGTTAAGAAGGGATCGACTCCACTCTGGAAGCAACACAAGCCAAGCTGAGTTCTTGGAATGAAGTTTGGAGTGCTGGAAGCAGGGACTCCAAACATCAACAAGTCTCCTTCCCCCAGAACTGTAAACACTGGATGCTCTGCATCCAGCACAAGATTTATCCAATGGCAATGGAATGGGGGTGAGTCAGCCTCACTAGAATCCCTGAGGGAGAAACCAGGGGAGGGATGGATGACAACACTCCCCCATCACCAATTCTGGGGGAAGATTTCAGCACCCAAAGGGTGATGAAACCAGCCCTGGCACAGCTGCCCAGGGCAGGGGTGGATCCCCATCCCTGCAGGGGATGTGGCACCTGGGGACAGGGGTCAGTGGTGGCCTTGGCAGTGCTGGGAATGCTTGGACACGATCTCAGAGGGCTTTTCCGTCATCAGAGCCCTTCAGCTCCCTTTGGTGTTTCATCATTGCAAAGCTAAAAGCAGAGTTAAGCAGCTGAATGGCCTTAAACGAGCTCAAAGTGAGGCAAGACCTTGTCAGGACTACCAAGGCCCCCCAATTTCTTGTCCCAGGGAACAAGTCCACTCCTGTATCAGACACAACCAACAATTCCTTCCCAATATCCCACCTAAATCTCCCCTTTTCCACTACGAAGCCATTCCCTGTGTCCTGTCCCTCCATCCCTTGTCCCAGCAGTCCCTCTCCAGCTCTCCTGGAGCCCCTCCAGGCCCTGGAAGGTGCTGGAAGGTCTCTCCAGAGCCTTCCCTCTCCGAGCTGTGCCTCAGTTTCCGCAGAATTGGGCGTTCTCTTCAAAACTGCTCCTTGAACTGAGTTACTGAGAACACCTGAAGCAGAGAGAATAGAAAACCACAGCTCACACCCAGTGTTTTTTTTCCTGTTTAACCATCACACGAGCTCCACAGTGACAAGAAAAACATCGTTTAAGATTTTACCACCAAAAACCACAAACCTCCGTGTTTTCTCTTTGAAGTGATGCTGGTTGAAGGTGCAACCAGGCAGGAAGGACCCTCTTATCAAGTGGGGGGTGATTCTCCCAGGAAAGCCTTAAAAATTCCCCCCCAAATCCTCAAAAATCCCCCTGTTAATTAGACTCTCTCCAGGTTCATCCCCAGACGAGCTGCAACAGTTTACTACAACTCAGGTGCTTTATTGAGGTGTTTTGGGTTTTTTTTGTTATTAAAAACAAGGACATTTTCTCCAGGACAGGAATTAAAAAAATAACAATAAAAAATAATAAAAAAATCATTGTTCAAACCCCATTGAAAATAAATATATAAAGCCTCTATTCCAATCAGGGAGCTGTAAATATATTATGAGCCGAGTTCTTCCCAACTACGCCGACTTGGGAAGCGCATCAAACCCCTACAAGAAAAACCCCCATAAAAACCTGACACTCATCCCAAATCCTTGATTCTTAAACAGGGTTTAAGATTCTTCAGATCAGTACAAAAAGCCACCCAACACCACCAAATCTGAGCTGCAAAAGTGTTCCCTGCGTGTTTTTTTGGGTTTTTTTTTTTCCTTCCACGCCACGTTCTGCTCCGGGGCTGGAACGTCCCAGGGTGGTTTGAAGGGGTCATTCCCATCAGTCCCAAGGCACCTTCTTCCCTAAGACGTGGTTGGTGATTTTCTGCAGGGGAAAAGGAAGTGAAAGAGATGAGTTTTAGAGGGGTTTGAAAATTCCAGATGCTGAGCAGGATGATATTCCTTAGTTTTCTGAGTGGAATATCATGGAAACGAGGAATGCTTTGGGTTGGAAGGGACTTTAAAGCCCATCCAGTTCCAACTCCCTGCCATGGGACACCTTCCCCTAGACCAGGATGCTCCAACCTGGTAATTAATAGCTAATAAAACACTGCAAAATGGGGTGTTCATTGACACTTTTCAGGACACCTAAAGCAGCCCAGTTGTTTCTCACTCCTTCCCATGAAAAAAAAAAAAAAGCAGGATAATGCCATGCTGGCTGCTGTGGGAATGGTCAGGAACAAGCCTAAAGATATCAAGGCTAAAAATACCTTGGAATTAGCTGAGAGATTGTTCCCTGAATATCCATGATCGTGTCTCCCCTTCACCTACTGAGCAGAAACTTCTGGGAGTCACCTGTTCCCAAATTTCTGATGTATTTCGGAAAAGACACGGGAAAAGAGCAACAAGGACAGTGGAAGGCACAGAAAGCGTTTTCTACGACAATCAGTGGAATAAATTAGGAATCTAATGGGAAGGATGAAGGGGAGGAGATGGGAGTCTTGTACAATCCTGAACTGCCTGAAAATGTAGGGGAAAAGTTCTTTCCAAACTCCTCCAAAAAA